GGATAGACTGTGAGAGTGCGAATGTTATTATATAGGATTTGTGGAAGATTATCTTATAACATATAATATAATGTTATCTTTGGTTTGGTTGTATATTGGGCTTGTGTTATGATTAAGAAGAAAATGCATTGAGTGTTAACAAATAGAAAAATAAATCTTTATATAATACAATGTACTAATACAGAAGAATAAGGTGAAATTCGAAATTTCAAGAATTCAAGTGTAAAAGGCTTGGCATTTAAGAGAGAGAGAGAGTTTCGAAAAAGTAAATATGTGTGTGTGTGTGTGTGTGTGTGTGTGTGTGTGTGTGTGTGTGTGTGTGTGTGTGTGTGTGTGTGTGTCCAAATGTAGCAACCGCCTGCTTAACCATGGGTGAAAGAAAGGATGCACATGTTCAAATGTCGCAGCGAGCTGCTTTAAAAGGTGAGGAAAGAAAGGATGCATGTCTTCAAATGCAGCAGACGGTGTAACCGTCAAAATCGCCAGTTCGTCGTGCGAATGTCGTATTCCGTCTCTGGGTACATTACGAAGACCGCAGCATCGGGAAATGGACAAAATTGATTCACCCATTCTGATTTAGGTTGATTTTTTTTTTCATCTTGTTATACATATCTAGAGATCCGCTTCGAAAGCGGTGTTTTTTTTTTTGGTGGTGGTGGGGGGGTATTCTCATTGGCTTACGATTGTTCGCCTGATATCCTGGTTTGCAGTTCTTGTTTCTGATTGGCCCACTAGATCAAGATGTTTGTATTCTGTTCGAGACGGCTTCTGATAGGTTACTTGAAATATGACTAGCGATTCTGAATATACATCTATTTTTACAGATGGAGAGGTTTAGATCTCATTATTATTTGTTTAATTTTATTTATTTATTTTTCTATCACCACATTATCATTGTATGTGATGATGGTTCTAAGTTCATTTTACAATGTTGTTTGCTGCTTTTTTCTCAATTTTTTTACTATGTACTTTCCGGCCTTACTTGGGTGGACATTTTTTCTATATGTTTATTAAATTTGCTTCTATGCAATGATTAAAAACACACGTCCATCAAAATGTAAATTTTTGTTCAAATTTCCTTTAAAAGAAATGCAAATTTAATTCAAGGGCGACAACTTTAAAGAGAACAAGAGTTACTTACCTTACTTATAGCTTCCGATTGATAAAACAATCAGCAATAACTGCTTTGTCTTCAGATTGCCTTTGTTGTAGTATGTGAATATATCGAAACAGTTTTTGAATTAGACGGTATAAAGAAAGGACACACGTTAAAATATTCCTGTGGGACTAGAGAACTCAAGAGGATAGCAAATAAATTTAATACTTTCATTTTATCTTTAATTTAATTTTTTTTTTTTTGAACTGGCATCTTTAGTCTTGTATTTTATTTTAATGATGATGCTTTAGCTGATATATCTCTGGCCTTTCTCAAGCGTATATTACAATGTCCAGGAAGTATTCTATAAAAGCCTTTATTTTTTCCAGAGCATCCCATGGTTTTATAATCTGATATATAAAAAAAGTATTATTCTTTTAAGTTCAAGAGAACAAAATGAACTTTGGCAATACATCAATTCAGTCGATGAGTAATATGGGATTATTAAAAAGGAAGAATATCAATTTTGATACGACATAAATAAACCAGTTCACTCATAAATATAATTTGAGAGCATATAGGTTTTTTCCAAGCGTAGCTCAGATGTGGCACAAGGCTGAGAGTATGGGGCACAAGTGAGGATCACTCACTACTCAGTCGTAATTGTTCTAGCAAGACAAGCTTGCTAACCATTACACCACCCTGAGGTGCCCAATTTGGGAGCATATATCTAGCAGGAGCACTGGAGCATATGTGGCAACAATATTCTAAGCATGGATGTATGGTAGACTTATAGATATGTAAGATAGATTCTGGAGAGAAATTGTCTAGCACAACACATTGAACCAACTTTCTTAGCAGCTGACCTAGCAATAGATTCAACTTTCTTTTTTTAAGCATTTCACCTCAAGCAAGGTGGAAAGCCACTAGCAAGCAAAGGTTTACAGAGAATTGGAGCAAGAGCAAATAGGAGTGATAGAGGAAAGGATTTGAAGGATCATCTCCGGCTAGAAAAATTTCCTGGTGCGGCACAGGGAGCCAACTTTCCTTGCGGTGGACGAAGCTATTGACTCAATGTATTTGTCCTTCTACTTCATATCAGCTGAGAACATTACCCCAAGAAGGCACAATGAGTCATTCACTTGGGGTTTAGCATTAGTCATGCTGATGGAAGGGAGAAAGGGGTCTCTACAATGATTAATAGGGAGCAGTTTAGTTTTGGAGGCATTTAAAAAAAGACTTTATAGATAACCTTTTAGTATTCATTACTATTTTCACTAATCAAGTATTTTTTTAAGCAAAAAGCTTTTAGAGACATATAAAATGATTTTTTGGAGAGAGAGGAGGAGAAAAGAGAATGTCAAATCTCTTATTCTGAGTATTATGGTAGCCACAAATAAAAAAAAAAAAAACATATGCCTCTTATGCCAACATTAGAATTTGAAATAAATTTTTGCTTATTAAATAACATAAAAATTAATAATAATGCAGAACACAAGATTTGCAACACAGTTGTCAGGTTAACTCCTCTTAATTTTCAAAACCGTTACAAGGGGGCGCTCTCCAAAACTATAAAATACTCGACGATATCTTTTCTCACCCTCTTCTTCTTACTTTTCTACTTATACGATATGTAAATCTCTTGGGGAAGATCACGTTTTCCCTTTTTGGGAAATGCATGAACAATACATACCCACATATGTACATATGTACATTCACTCACTTTACATATTTGGACCAAAAAGTTTCCACCTTCATTTGTTACACACATTATTGTCTTTGTTACTTGTAAGCCTTTGTCGTTAATACATTATCATTTGTTTGCAGATATATATTGCTTCTTCTTGTTTCTTTGCATTTCTTTACCTTGACTCACATCTTGAATCTGCCATGTTTGTTGTGGGCATTTCAGGAGACATACATATTTATCTCTCAGCATGTCCACTGGCCCACAACACAAGCTTGCCCAAGTTACTTAATTTCTAAACAAAAAGAAAATAGATTTGTTTTCATTTAAACAAAACTCTGCTTTGTAAAATTTGGAGAGAAATATCAACCATTCCAACAGTTCTTTAAAAATATAGAATATATTCTATAATTAGAATATATTCTATAAATAGAATATATTCTATTTATAGAATATACTCTATATATAGAATATATTCTGTATAAATAGAATATATTCTATATATAAATATTATTGCATAATATTTACAAAAAAATGCATAGTAAAAACACAATAGAAATTTTTTTAAACAAAAGGTTTTTCAGTTAAGAGTAAACTTTCTGTTAATATAAAATTCAATTTTGAAAGTAAAGTACATTTTAAGTTGAGCATGGACTTAACTTTAAAAGCTAAATCAGCAAATTATAAAATTAAAAGTCATCTTTTAAAATAAATAATAAGAAAATTTTGAATTAAAAGAAAACTTATCTTTTAAAAATAAAATCTTAGAAATTTGTGTAATAAACGTAAATTTCTTTTAAATTTCACTTTGGATTAAGAGTTTTAGGTTTTCTCATTCACACCATTTGTAATCCTCAGGATAAAGGATTGGAGATTCTCTTTTCCCTTCTCCCAGAAAAATCCTTTTTACATAAGACATCATGTTATGCAATGATTCTTCAATATTTGAGATAAAAATAATTAATTTCAAGGCAGAATATTCTTCTCTTTAATATCTGTCTATATTTCTGAGATGAGGTATTGCAATTATTTGCACTATTTACATCATTCAGACTGTTGACTTCATCGTTATTGCCATATTCACCATGTTTCAACCATTGTACTCTCTGACCTTCTTCAGGTGATATATGAATTTCAAACTGAACCCTTTGTTTAGTCCACAGGAGTGAGTGTCCTAATTTCAAAGCCATGGATTTTTTTGATATCTCAATATCAGTTATTTCCCTTTAGTAACTCAACTCTTCAAGTTTTTGTTCACTTCTGCTGTGGCCAGGGATTGAAATCAGAACTCTTTGGGTCAAGTCACTTTTAGAATTACTCAACCAATACTTTTATCCACTGGCCATGTGTCCAAAAGACGCATGACATGAATTAGGACAATCTATCCCCATGGACTAAATAAAGATTTCAGTTCAAAATTCCAACCTACACCTTTGTGCAAATTAATTGAAACAAAACAAATAATTCCATTATTATTTAGATTTTTTTGTATTTATCCAGTGAATCATGACCCAGATCACATGCTAGTACTTTGTATGTCCATTCCACAATGTCATCCCTTGCAGATTGACCACAGATTCTCGATTGAATTTAAATCAGGAGAGTTTCTAGGCCAGTAATAGTACTTTGATTTACTCACTGGTAAGGCATGCCAGTGTGTTCGCACAGCATGACAACTTTCATACGCTACCTTGGAGTAATGTCCATCACAGAAAATGGCTCTAGGACAACTAATCATCAGTTGAGACAATAGTGTCTTGGCATGATAAAAATCTGATGCAATCATGGATGACACAATATTTTTCAAGGTCAAACAAATTTCATCATACACTCCAAAAATAGATTCATATTACTGCACACCACTGCAAATAGCTTAATCTGAGGAAAAAATAGAAAGTGATTACAGCCTGTCACTCTAGTGGATCTAAAACTGACTGTATATTAAAAGAGAGGAAACTAAAGTGGTTCTTTCAATTAATTCGCACAAGGGTGAATATCTTCTCTTTACGTTAACTATAAACAAACATTATTGCAAAATTACAATTTTGTTTTTATAGTAAAAAAACATTAATTCAAGCTAATTAGTTTTTTGTTTTTTTTTTTATTAATACTTCTACATCTTTGTTTTTCTATTTTTTTTTAGCTTGGGCCTATGGCTTTCTGTTTGTGACTTTAATCAATATATGTGCTCTGATTGGCGTTGTTGTTCTTCCCATTATGAATACCAAAATCTACAAGAAGGTTCTTCTCTTTCTTGTGGCTCTAGCAGTTGGAAGTTTGGCTGGTAGTGGAATCTTAGTACTCATTCCAGAGGTAAACCATTTTATGAATTCTCAATCCTATATTTCACTCTGTTTATTAATACAAAAATTAATATATATCAACTAACAACAAGAGTGTTAGTTGTTTTTATTGTGATTTCAGTTTTAACCCTTTCAACTCTGTAGTTCCTGAAAAATTTAAAATCTTCTATCCAGGTTCCTGAGTCAAAATTTGCAAATAATTGGTTTGTAATGTTTCACGGTAGATATAAAAATAGTTACAAATGTTTACCCACCGTTCAAGCTGTTGTTCATGATGACGGTCGTCTTTGAGTATAGAATCCAGAGTTTAGCAGTGAATATTTTGAAGATAGTAGGAAAGCGTTGTTCAGGTTAGCAGTGGATATTTTGGTAAAAGTAGCAGAGCATAGTTCGTCCTTCTGTTTCTCTTCACCTGACAAGTCTGAAACTGGACATTTGGGTAGGGTAAACAAAATGGCTGCTTTTATACATGACGGATTGAATATTCTACATCTTCTGATTGGTTAACCTTCTATTTGTGGACTATAAAGTGAGTCAAGTCATTTGGGCTAACTCACTAGTACACATATACACAAAAACTGCAACACAAGCAGTAGCTGGACATTAAGTCATTTTTCTCTACCACTGTTCAACTGGTAACTGGGCATTATGTTATTTTCCTTTACCATCGGTAAAGCAGTGATCAGGGCTCAAAGGGTTAATTCATATTTTCTCAAAACACTATTAATCTTTTTAAGATTGTAAGATTAAGTCTTGTTAATCAAATGCTGTTTATCTCTAAGTGTTGTGTTCCATGTCATCAATAGTTTCAGCCTCTTAGACTCAAACGCCACTTCAGCTCTATTCTTATTCGTTTTATTAGAGGAGAGGGAGAGAGATGATAGCATCAATTCAAGGAGGCAATGAGAAAGAACTTTAAGGAGACGTATTGGCTTAGTACCCCCTCATGTGGTACCTTAACCTGTCTATTGAACTTGAAATTGTGAAGCACTGATGCAGTTCAAAATTACTGTGGCCCTCTGCTGACTTAATGCCATTTTGATCTTATGTCCAAACTTAATCAAAGGCAATTGTTCACTATCAATAATACCCCACCCACAAGGTATTCTGACAAATTCCTTACCATCCTGACCCAGCTTCTGCATTCTGTAACATAAGGATCATTTATATGCCTTAAAATCTATATTTTTATTGTCATTATTATTATTTTATTTCCTTTGATTCCTGGTATGTACTCATTTCTTTCCGGGTCCTACCCAGAGACCTAAGGTCAGAAATGGCATCATGACATTTTCCAGTGAGCAATTAAAAAAAAGCAAAAAAAAAATATTTTACACAGATAAAGCCCTTTGTAACGTGTGGGCTGTACTCAATGAGAACAATTTTTTAATTTAAGATATCCCTTCAATGATTCTTTTGGAATCTTTTCCAATCAATCCAAGGGCTCCAACTACAACAGTAATTGTTGATGTTCTCATGTGCCACATTTTTGAAATTTTTATTTCAAGGTCCTTGTATTTTGATAGCTTTTTGAAGATCTTCAAAGATACATTGCAGTCTGCAGAGACTGCCATATCAATAAGGAGGCAATTTTTTTTGTTTGCAGTCTCTAATAGCGATGTCTGGGCTATTAGCTTTGATTGTTCTGCCTGTGTGTATTGTGTTGTCCCATAAAAATTGTAACAGATCCTATCTTTGTAACCGGGTCTGGGTGGTGTTCATACCAATTTCTTTCAGTTTTCTTCCCGTAGATGTTTCAGATTTTCCAGTGCAGATATTGGCCCACTCTGTCATGCTGTGTTTTATATTCAGTGGGTGCCAACACCGTACAACCTGATACAAGATGATCAGTTGTTTCTGGATATTCATCACAGAATCTGCATTTTTATTATTATTATTATTATTTTTCTTCTTCTTACAAATATTTCTCTTAACCTCTCCTAAATCATTCTAACTTGATTTAGATTATATATATCTCAATTGATTTTAATGAGTTTTCTCTTTAATATTAACTAAACAATGTCATATAATTTTTTATTGCTTCTCTCTTCTTTCATCTTTTTATCACTGAACAGACAAACACGCATACACAGAAAAATGAATGAATATTAAAAAGATCAAAAGAGATGAAATTATAGGATACAGAATTTAGCAATCATATTTCATATCTGTTTGCACATTTTTCTTTCGGAAATAATTATAATATATAATTAAGATTACAATATTGATTTCTTATTTTTTATAAACCTATAATCAATAATTATTTTTATGAAACTGTAATTAATACTGGATTTTTATAAACCTATAAGTAATACCAAATTTTACTTTTAATTTACTGGATTTTAAAATTGGTATTAATGTTTTAATAAACAGTTGTTAAAAGCTTGTATAATTTTGAATTTTTCATATATGATTAAATGAAAAATTAAAAATTATATAAGCTTCTAATAACTGGCTATTAAGCCATTAATACCAATGTGTGTTCGTCTGGTCTGGTTTGGTTTGGTTTGGTTTGGATAGTGGGCATTAACAAATTAAATTGTATTAATATTCTTTTTTTTATTTTTAATACATTAAAAATTCTCAAAAACAGACCCACGCTGACTATTGGATAATACCTTCCCAGTATCGTTCATATACAAATAGTCTGTGCCACCTACTCTAAGTAGAAGTTCTCTCACCAGCCCATTGTGGAAGGGGACGCAACTCTTGGTGCTTACAGCACCACTGTTTTTTATTAGGCTGACCCAATTCTCTGTTACACAATGATATAATCCAATAAATTAAAATTTGCTATTAATTATAGGTTTATAAAAATTCAGTATGAATTATAGGTTTATAAAAATCCGTGTTAAATTTGCTGCTTGTTTAACATCAGCCTCAGCTACCACCAGTAAAGACAAAACTGACAAGACCTTCAAATTCATCTTTGATATTGAAGCAACTACCAAGAAGAAGAAAAATCTGATATTAATAATAGGTTTCTATATACAACCCACTAGTGCCACTATCCCAAAATTTGGATGGTGGGTATTAACAAATTAAATTGTATTAATATTCTTTTTTTTTTTATTTTTAATACATTAAAAATTCTCAACACTTTTTTAACATCAAAAACAGGGTTTTCAAATTGCTGGTGACCATGATAAAAAACCGGATTATCTTTGGATGGGAACCACCATCATGGGAGGCATCTATCTTTTCTTTTTAATTGAAAGATTTCTCAAGTTAATTTTGCAATGGAGAAAGGTAAGTCTTTTATTTAGAACCTAGTGTACACATGCCATCAAAAATGATGACAATTGTTAGAAAATCTTAATAGTGAGATGCAATGAAACAAATGTCTTGAAACAATGTATTGAGTTTCAATAAAGTAGAGATAAAGATTTCACAAATAAAATAGAGGCAACTGAACCATTCAATTAATGATTAATCTGTTCCCTTTATATTTTTTAAACATTGAATGATATCTACGATTCATTGATTATTCCTGGATATATATTAATTTTTTTGCTCAATATCTTTTCTTGTTAAAAAAATTATGTGTGAATATAAGAGTGAAATCTCTTCTAGTCATACATAAAGTCTTCAAAATCATCATCAGAATCCTAATCAAAGAAAAACTCCTGAATATAGGCTTTGTTGGATACTGATGTCACTATTTTTGTTTACATAAAATCACAAAAAAATTAATGTGGGTTTAAGCGGTGTTACATCTCATGTAGTCTAGAAGAATTCAAAATGGCATTAGAAAACAGAAGCTTAAGCTTGTTCCAAAGCAGTAGTAGGCGATTTCCAGCTTAAAATACTGGAAATAATGGTTGACAAGTGTTTATTTATAGCAACCGTCTCTGGAATTAATCAAGCAATTTCAGAATGGAAATATTCATTACAACTGGTTACTGGGGCTTAATCTGCAAATTTACTAAAAAAATTTTGTAAAACATCTCAACAATTTCTGGTATATAAAATTCTGGGTTTTATATTTTAAATGCTTTCTTCTTTTTTCTTTCCATTTTCTTTAATGATGAGTTGGATATTTTTACAAGACTAAAGATTCCCATCCAAAATCTTCTCCATTCAAATCCTATTAAGACGTAAAATATCATCCATTTCAGAATGTTTCTGAGAACCAAAAAGAGGAACTGAATAGTAACCATCAAGACTTGTCAGACATTGTGTGCTCAGTCAAAACCAAAACACCAGTGGATGTGGACACAGCTAAAATGAAAGACCCAGCTACCTACCATGCATCAGCTGCACAGTGCACATCACACATTATACATACAGAAAGTCGGGAATCAATCACTAGTAATAACAAAGCCAGCGCCATTACCGAATTAGGAACACCAGAGGTAATAAAAGTAACTAAAGATTTCTGAAAGACCATTTTTATTTCTCTTTCAAATGAGAAGTTCCTGTTGTTGGTTATTTTTGAGAAAATTGTATACATCTCTTGCATATACATCTGTTGCATCAGTATAGATGCACGCATGAAAAAATATAACTGCAAGGGTATTTAATTAAAGCTGAAGTGAATTTGCAAGATGTGTAGATAGGATAATAGTGCAGAAGTGAAATTGGCTGAGTTCAAGTTCTCGGTTAGTCTGTTGTTTTCTTTTACACCAAAAATAGCATCATCTAAAAATATGTTCATTTTTATAGGCACAGTGGTGGGTGCAAAACACATAATGAATGGGCCCCAAATTATATTAGCTCAGGAACCTCTTAAGGCCAAAATCCAGCCCTTATAAATTTTAGCTCTTTTATTATACATCAAGCACTATTTTTATTACCACCAGCACTAATGCCTGATATATATATATATATATATATATATATATATATATATATATATATATATATATATATATATATATATATATATATATATATATATGGGCACCTCGATATGGTGTAATGGTTAGCAAGCTTGTCGCACTAAATCTATTATGACTGTATAGTGAGTTTGATCCTCACTGGGTACCCCACACTTTCGGCCTTGTGCCACATCTAAGCTATGCTTAGAAAATCTTTGGGCACCTCAATGTGGTGTAATGGTTAGCAAGCTTGTCTCACTAGAACAATTACGACTGAGTAGTGAGTTCAATTCTCACTGGGTGCCCTCTAATTTCAGGCTTGTGCCACATCTAAGCCATGCTTGGAAAATCACTATATATATATATATATATATATATATATATATATAGCATACAACACCCACTGCACATACAGCATTCAGCAATACTACTATATAGAAACTTAACACAGAAATTCACCACCCAAAACCAACATCCTGCCCTGATAATGCCTATAGAACTAGCTGGAAGCACTTAGAACAATTATAGCTATGTACAATTCCTATATTCATTAACCCCTGAAAAACAAAAATTTGTTAGAATGCTGGAAAAAACTCAATAAAGAATTAATTAAATCTTCCTGTCAGCTGTTTTCAATGAAACATGCTTGAAAGAAAGGTTGCTACCCAAATAGACATTATTATATATATATATATATATATATATATATATATATATATATATATATATATATATATATATAAAATTCTAGGAGAATGAACAGCAGGATTACAGTGTTCAAAACATTAATTTAAAAATAGTGCTCAATACATAAAGTTGAGCCGTAAATATTTATCTTATGCATTGTTACATTAGAACATGCACATATCCACTACAGGTGAGGAATTATGGTATTACGTTATGGTGTTGGGAATTATGGAGAAATACCATAATTCCCCACCTGATGAGACATTTAAAAGGTTCCCCCTTTTTTGATGTTGAAACAAAAATATATAATTTTGTAGTGGATATGTGCATGTTCTAATGCAAAAATAAATAAATAAATATATATATATATATATATGAATGTGTGTTATTTTATCAATTAGTATTACTGATTTAATGAAACCTAAAAAAACTGTATTTGTATGTAAGCAGTACAGGCATTATTTATCTATATACTTTCAGGAAATCATTTCAAAGAATATCATTGGAAATTGTGAAGTAAACTCATCTAAACCAATTCAAACTGTTGCCTGGATGATCATCTTTGGAGATGGTCTTCATAACTTTATTGACGGCCTCTCAATTGGTGCAGCATTTACATCCAGTATTATGACTGGAGTCAGTGTATCCGTAGCGGTCATCTGTGAAGAACTTCCTCATGAACTTGGTAAAGAATTGTTTTTTTAATCATTTTACACCAAGCAAAGCAGCAATGCCACTAACATACAATGGACTACTTAGATTAAAAGAAAATGAGAAGATATTAGTGAGAAGAAAGGACAAAAAAAAGGATTCAGGAAGACGAAAGACAGCAAATGACATTGTATTTAAATTTTTGAAGATCATATGTAGCAAGGAAGAAATGGACTTTCAACTTGCAACCATTTAACTCTAAAGCCATTGGGAAATGTATGAATTTGTCTTCTTCCAGTTGCTGATTAAATCGTGATATGTCCCAGAATGGCATAAGTGGTTTTGGACTACTGTAACCGGGTAGGACAATCTAGAAAGTAACCGTAATGGATTGGTCCTCGTCATAGTGGTAGGCAATAGGCAAAGGCTATAGGTATAGACAATAGGCGTAGATGATATACCTCCACATCAGCAATCATATTACTGTGAGGGGAAACCCAGGTGTATGCATATTCATTACATCAAATAGCAGAATTGGTTGCACTCTCCAATATTGACTGGAAGCCAGTCTAAAAGATAGATAACTCTTAATTAAAAACTAGATGTAGAAACTGTAGAATTAACCCACCTTGTCTATCAGAGAACTTCTCTTAATGCCTACTAGGTGTTATTGTATCAGCAGTATACAAAGCAAAGGAAAAGGACACAATCTCTCTCTCTCTCTCTCTCTCTCTCTCTCTCTCTCTCTCTCTCTCTCTCAAACCACAAGATGCCATAGTGATAGAAATTAACCTATTTCTCCTCAGGAAAACATAATCCCTAGATCTATTATGTGTCACAAGGTAAACCACATGTATTATAAACATGCTGCACTATCTCCTGTTCAGAAAAACTTCATGTATCGACAACAGCACTTATGTTACAGTTAATCTTAGAAATATGTATTTCTCTGGTATATAACATTTTTCCTTTTTTTTTTTTTTTAATCATTTCACCCCGAACATGATGCCACTAAGATGCAGCAGTTTACTGAGAGTGAAAGAAAATGTGAAGATATCAGTGATGAAAAAGAAGAAGATGGAATATGGCAATTGATGTTGCATTTAGTTTTTGAAGATCAGGGCAGAGAAACAAGAATACAGAAGATAATTTCACAGACAAGAAGTAGAAACTATTACAATAGAACTTATAATTGCATCAAAAGCTTATTCACCATTAAAATGGTGAGACCTAACTGCCAATCTAGTAGTAAATTTAAATTCATGTGACTGGGGTACTTAGGAGGAGAATTCATTAAAAACAAAGAGAATATTTATAAAAATGACAGAGGAAAGACACATCGTGGAGATGCCAGGTCATAACATTACAGGCTATTTGGGGGATTTTGTCACAGAATGACAAAATGGGAAAACGAATGAAGGCGTGATGCTAGGTCAGGACTGATAACATTACAGACCCTTTTTGGGATTTTGTTTCCTGAATGTCATCACAGTTGTTAATCCCCTTCCATTACAAATCTACTCCTTTCCAAAGCTGCAAAGTGTAGACTATTAATTTCATTTTATTTTCAGAGAAAGATCTACCTAAAAATATTTAAATCATTTCACCCCAAGCAAGGTAATAAAGCCACTAGACACATAAAGAAAACTACAAAAGCTCTTACAGAGGGTAGTGAAGGAAAGCAAGATGAAACAACTAAACATAAATTGGAAGAAGACAGAATGCATGGTTGTTAGCAAAGAGATGAGCCCAAAGGGCAAATTATAAATCAGAGGTATCAAAATCAACTAAGTACAAAAAATTAAACAGAGGATGGAAAATGCAACACTGAAATCCAAAGATGCATCTACTTGGAGAGGCAAAGATGCATTCTAAAAGCTAAACAGAGCATTAAGAGATAGAAAGACTTTTTTTTAGAAACAAAGACTGTTGCATAATATATGTCCTACTGTATGGCAGTGGATACTAGGCAATTTTCTCAAAGATGAAGAAGAGACTTGAAGCAATAGAAATATGGGTTTACAGAAAAATGTTGAGGATACCATGTATTGAAATGTCAGTAACAACAAGTTTTTAGAGAAAATGGAAATAAAATGAAAACTTATACTTAGCTTCAGGAAAAGATAGTTGAAATTTCTGGGGAAAATAATGAGGAAGGAGGGCTTGGAAAACCTGTTACTCACAGGACAGATTAATGGCAAAAGTGACAGAGGAAAACAATGTATAACATACTTGATGAACTTTAGAAAATGGATGGCTGAGCTAGGTTCAGAAATAAAGAAAAGACAGAATTTATTTAGAGCTGCAAAAGACAGGAAATTGTGGAGAGGACACGGCCTACAAAAGAAGCAGAAAAAACGCAAGGAGTTTTAGAGAATATAAGAAAATAAACACTATTAAGAAGAGAGAACAATAAAAGAATAAGAATTAAGAACACAGAAGATAATGATTGACATTGTATTTGAAGATCAAATTTGGCAAATAAGTCAGAAGAGAGTTCCAGAAGTGAGAATTGCAATAAAAGAACCTGTTTGCATAGAACTTATGGTTACGTCTGGCATTTTCAACGGTAAAATGATGAGACCTTGCAATCAATTGAGTACTGCACTTAAACTCATAAAGTCTAAGTACCATAAAGGAAGTTCATCAGAAAAATTACCATAAAAATATTTATAGAAAAGGCACAAGAAAGCTACATTATGGTGGTGGGAAAGAAACTGTAGCTGTGATTCCAGGTCAGGACCAACAAAATTGCAAAACTTAGCATATATTTCACTTTAAAACATACAAAACTTGTAATTTTTATGTTGGTTTGCAATGCTGTGATACCAGTGCCGCTGTTTCAATGTATTTCAATCAATTACTGAGCAATAATATCTAGAAATACACCCATTACTCTGACTGCAGTCAATGTATCTGTAGCTATCATTTGTGAATAACTTCTCCACGAACTTGGTAAAGAAATTAATCTTGTTATCTCTCAGCTTGCATTAATTTCACCCAAAATGCATGAATCTGTTTTTTTCTCATTCAACTATAAATTAAATACCACAACAGCCTGATCTCTCTAGCCTTGCTAGAAGTATGATAACAGTGAATTTGAAACTAGATGTGGAATCCATTACTTTCCCAGCTATGAAATTAAGACTAGAAAAAGGTTTACCTAAACTTAATGTATATGGCATTTCAAAATATTTAAATTCTAATTTTTATGCTTTTTTACAATACAATAATACCAGTTTGAATATTTCAATGTATTTCACTTGACAATAATCTCATGAAACAATTCTGTCTTTTATGTAGGGATCTTCTTTGAGATGAGTTAGATTATTGATTAGTTTGTTTCTTATCAAAATTAGCTAAATGATCAGACAAGTAAATTAGTATGCACTGCACTTGGACATTCATGGGATACTTCTGTTAGAGTAACTCCAATTTATACATGAGACAGTTCAGCAGTGATCGTCACAAGGAAATGTTTGTCTTCAGATGTACTTGAAAAGATAGACTCTTGCAACATGACATGCTGGATTTGTGAATAAGGACATTTCTATAAAATAGAACCTTCCAATGATGTTTTTTATTATTTTTATTTTAATTTTTAATACTTTGGTAAATATCCATACCAATGGCAGGTATTATTAAGGCTACCTACATATATCTGGTAAACAGAACAAGTGGTCAGGTGAGCCATCATATAATCTTGTGCATTTTGTTTTGTTTTCAGCATTAAGCTTACTTAATCAATTGATTAACAAATCCATTAGTTAACTTATCAACAAGTGAAGTTAATGACCAGTAAAGCTATTGGTCAGTTAGTTTTGAAGGCAGTCAGACCAGTAATCAACCAATCAGAATTAATGAATGTAAGTATGTCTATTTGTGAAGCAGTCAAGCTGTTGAATTAATCATTATTATCTGCATCAGGGAGTTACTTATTTAGAATTTTCTAGTCTAGCGGTCAGTCATTCAGTATGGTATTGCTCATGTAATGATGTGTGTGGTCATCAGTTAGGTCAGTGAATCCAAATCCTAGACAGATTTGTGTTCAGTCATTGAAAAAACTACTCAGTAAATTTAAATGGCATTGCTTCAATTATGTCATCAGTCAGAAATGGACAATCCGTTTCATCCAATTTAAAATTAAGACTTTCTATATTTTTTATGACTTTTAGATAATGAGGGTAAAAATAAAAATATGAGGGAAAATTTAGATTATTGTTTGTTTTGATTATTATATTAACAGTGAAATATACCATTCAAAAGCTAAGCAAAGTATTAAGAAACAGGAAAATTTTGTTAGATAGAGAACTTACTTTAAAATAATGAGGGTAAAAATAGAAACAACTGGTAAAATTTAGATTATTGTCTGTTTTGATTATTATATTAATAGTGAAATATATCTTTCAAAACTAAGCAAAGTATTAAGAAATAGGAAAATTTCATTAATCACAAAACTTACTTTTAAATAATGAAGATAAAAATGGAAATTATTGGTTGTTTTGGTTATTATATTAATAGTGAAAGATGCTTTCTAAAAGCTAAGCAAAGTATACTGGATCAAGACAATTTCATTAGACACAAAAATGTGTTGAATCATTGCATAATATTTTTCCTCCAATATAGCAGTAAATGCTGAACAGTTTCCTCACAGATGAAGAGGACAAATGTGGTTCTATAGAAGGATGCTGAGAATACCATGGACTGACTATTTGAGTAATGAGGAAGTTTTAAGGAAAGAAGAAAAAAAATTCTTAAAATCAGAAAGGAATCAGTTGAAATTTCTATGGCACATAATGAGGAAAGAGGGCTTAGTGATTTTAACACTTTTTGATTTATGTTTACTGTATTTGTTCCCACTATTAACAAATTTATAAAATATTACAAAATTATCAAAATATGTAAACCAACTACAATTCAACAATTCAATATTTATTATTTATCATTTTATAAATAACTATAAAATTCAATCTAATAAATAAGTAGTGATTTATACAGTGTGTGGCAAAAAAACCTCCCACATAATTGTAAAACATTAGTGTCAATGGTGTCTTCATCTAACTAATGTCTTACCATAATGTGGGAGGTATTTCTGGAAGGTATATGTCAAAGGTATTTCTAACAATTACTCTGTCCCCTCGTCAGTGTATATATAACAAAAAAAATAGTTCAAAATTTCATGAATGTATATCAGATCAACAGACATTTGAAAAAAGCTGTAGAATACAATTGCTAAAATGTTGCAATTATAAGAAAAATGTGGTGAATAGTTCTACTGTAAATAATACAATGTATAGCAGAAATACCCCCCACACAATGGTAAGACATTAGTGGCATTGATGTCTTCATCTAGCTAATGTCTTACCTTAATGTGGGAGGTATTTCTGCTATTCTTTGTATAAATAATTTCCAAAGAAACATTTATTTCAAACCAGTTCAAACGTCCTTCATTTCAAACAATCATAAAAAATTTACAACCCATATATAATATAATTTCATGCCACAATCAGTTTCTTGCAAACATAAAATTGATGGAAATTGTTCAGCTTCCTAATTAATATTTTGATTCTTTAGTGATGGTGACATGAGAAGTAAGTGTATTCAAATCTTTTATTATATTCTATTTCATAATGAGTTACATGTAATAATATATTTATATTATATTCTATTTAACGTTAATCTGACTACCAACGGTTTCACTTTACTTAAAAACATTGCGGCAATGATAATGTGATTTTCCCCCTCTAAATTAAGCAGGTAAATACTTGAAAGAAATGC